TCGACATGCACCCAACAGAGGAAGAGGTGGAAAAAAGATAGCCGCATTACAATAAATGGATCAAAATATATCCCTCACAACACTGTGTTGTACATTAGTACACACAACACACACGTCATTTCATGGCAACCATGGATAAAATTGAATTCTGAATAGTCTCTGAACACATATTAGCATTAGATTTTTAGTTATTGACTTAAAATCACTAAATATATCAATGTTTTTTCCTCTGTGAGACTTCAGGACCAAAACTGTGCATTAGGGCAAGATTCTTATATTAGTATATTTGTAAAACATGGTTTTCACTAGATTCTAAAGTTAGCTGATTAAAAGATTTATAGAAGTATCTTTATCCACAGAACAGGCAAACCTAAAGGTGACCCTTACACAACTTAACAGAACATTTCTATTTCTAAACATTCCCCCAAACTTTTTTTTAACTTGTAAGACCAGACTCAAGCAGTTGAGACTGTTCAGTCAGTCATTTAAAACGCTGCTCTTTTAGTCAGTATGTCTTATACCTTTCTGCCTGGCTTGATGACAGTGATGCCCTGCAGCACGAAATAACAACAGGAAGCCCAATGATCAGCCCTAGACTGCACAAGAGAAGAAACTGGGTCTCCTCTGTCCCACAAGATCCAATGACATGCAACTCAGAGACCACAAATAAGAAGTGGGGAGGGGTCCACACTGGGAAAAAGCAGACATTGAGAGGTACTAACACAGTCCTCCTCTCAAGGATTATTCTCCTAATATTACATTGCTTATGGAAAGGCCAAGGTAATCAAAGGGAACTCGCTAAGGTTTCGATGCCTTGGCCTCAGAAATGAACCGCTATAACCATTTCCCTGGCAAGTTCCAAAATTTAGGGGAAACAACGCTCTTCTGAGCCTTTTTGTTAACCCAGCAATATATGGTATCTATACAAATCACACTGGAATCACTGGGGAGAGAAACCTATCAGAGAAGCTGATACAAGTATGGCCTGGATATAATGATAATAAGACAAGAGACCTTGAAATGGGCAAAAATCAGAAGATGAGATGACGGTGCCTGTCTCTGGGGCTCACTCTGTCCTCCAAAAACGTCTCTCAATAGTCACGGTAACCTCAGTAAGACTTCACAGTGTGGACGTGGTCCTCTCCTGCCACCGACCCCGGTGAAAGCTAATTAAGAAATATCGCAGCCTTCTGCAAACTCAATTAAATAATGTTAATTTATTCTAATTTCAATTTGGAGGTAGTCAGGATGAAGGGGGGGCTGTGAAAAGTCTTAGAGACAGAGAGCTCTGGCCTCTGCCAGGAACTCTCACAACCCACAAAACTCCATTTAATTTGAACCCTTTGATTAACAAAAGTAATCACACAAGTCCTTCAACTGAAGGGGAAAAACTAAACATACCTCTGGTGTTGGTTCACTTTCTCACCTCTGGAAAGAATGAGTGTACAAAAAAAGAGGGGCGATAGAGGGAAAAGTGGTAAAGCCACCATGTCAGATTATGGTTCAGACAGTAATTTCTACCTTTTTCAAATTCTACTTTGTACAGAAAGAAGCAGGTGCAGTGAGGTTGTATTAACAAAGACTACACAATAGACACAGGAGAATTTCCAAAAACACACAGGCCAGAAAGCTGAAATATGTAATAAGTAACCTAAAATATATTTGACTGTTTTTCTGTTTAACTCCATTTAAAAGAAGCCAACAATAGTTCGATGACACATAATCCATGAAGTGCCAGCAACTTGAAGATAAAGCGCCTTACTCTAAGATCCTTGGTGTAAATATTAAAATAATATAGAACTTCTTTGCTCAAACTTTTACCCACAGAAATATGCCCGCTTCAAACTTTTCTTTATATGAAAATAAGGCAAATAATTCATGAAGCGGAAATGTGATGAAAATCCAAAGATCAGAGCATCTAAGTGTAGAGTGGTCTGACTTTGGAATAGAGACGGAGATGAAACAAAAGGGGGAGCAGGGGATCACTGAATTACTGGGAGGGGTGAAATCAGCCCCACGGAAAAGAGATGGACTGAATCAGATCAGACAAAGCTCACAACCCGCCCAACAGGAACTTCCTCTGTTCATTTAAATTAATCCCACAGATGTTTCCATCCTTCCAGCTCCCTCACAGATGCTAAACTTAAACTTGATGTCTATGAGAATCTATATCCCTCAAACAGACGCACTGGCATGGGAGACATGAAGCATCTAATGTGATGCTGCAGAGCTACTTTCACCAACTTGGAAACAAATCTTCACACTAACAAAAATAAACTCAAGTAGCATATATGCCCATGTATATTCAAAGGTGAAAGTGGTGTTTATGAATGCTTGGTGGTGACAACAGATAAAGGAACACACTACTGTCTGAAACATCAGGATATATATGAGCTCACACTCAAATTTATTGTCATCTCCTATTGTGGGAGCACAGAAGAAACGGGTAGACAAGCACCTCAGGCATTAAGTGTATGTGCTCTCCAATACCTGCTGGCTTTTGTAAGGACCACAAGGCATCATGGATTAAGACAACAAAATATTTTGGAACCTCCATAGATACTGCAGGACGTACATCTACACTGGCATCTCTATCCACCAACCTGCACGCCAAATGTACATTTGCTTACAACTGGCCTCACAGGTCCACCTGCATGGTTTCAACACGAAACCCCCAACAACTGGTAACCCACATTTCAATATTTGAATTATTCTGTGTTGCAGTTTCACCCTGTTCATATAATGCTGTTGCTGAAACTGTGCAAAGTGCCCAAAATCCAGAGTTGTTAGAGCTTAATGTGAATCCAACCCATATGTGTAATAGCTGTGCACAGAGTAATTGGGCAAAAACCATATGTCCTGTAGGCGTTCCAATTTTCCACATGGTAGAATTGAAGTGGGTAGTTTAAATGCAATGATGAGGGGGGTAAAACTACATCTAAGACAAAGTTTAATATCAAGTCTGCCCAGGTATTTCATACATGACAATATGTACTTTAGTGGCTGACATAATTTCTCTCAGACTCCTGGACTGTTACCTATCGTGACCAAACTGTTAAAGTATGCTTGTCTGCTGCACTTAATGCTTCCTTTGCACTGAATAAATGTGTAAAATGTAAAGAAGCATACATGTTCATCTCTTTTGGTTAGCAAAAACAAGATTTCATTTAACACAATGTGTATGAGACTTTCCATACCCTCCGGGGCAGGTTCTAAGCATATATCTGAGAACAGCGGCTTTCACTATATCAATTTCTATTTACAATACGAGATTAGACCTAGTTGTTAGTGTGTGTTTATCTTGGTCCTACACACCAACTGCTCATATGAATAGCTAGTAGGAATAAATACAAATGGGATAAGTTAGCTTTGTTTTTGGGGAAGGTTATAACTGCTCCAGTACATATTCACTGAAGCCTCCGGCGTATTAGAAACAGATACATCCGGGCCTGTGAGCACAAACAAGCATCTACATTCAGTACACGTCCAGTGTGATCATGTGTCAGTTTTGTCTTGACTTCTCATAGTGGGAATGTGTCCCCTTAATCCTCTCTGACGTCATACATTCAAAGGTCATCGTGCAGCCTACACAGTTGACGTGTGTGTGTGTGAATAAGAAAGAGAAACCTATTCACGCTAGCTGTATATGTCACAAACACTGTAGGCCTGTCACTGTTTACTGTAAACATCCAACTCTCTTCCTACCATTCCCTTTCCTCTACCCTTTACCATCTTCCACCTACTCCCTTTCACTGCACCCACCCCCTTCTACCCTCACCCACAACTCATTCTCTGCATCCCTCCCTCACCCCAAGCCTTAGAGGCAGGGGCATCTCTTGGTGAAGTGTGGCCCACCACAGGTCACTGGCTTTGGGTAATTAAAGTGGTTTAGGCCCCCTCACCCACGGTCACAGGCAACTGCAGCTGGGTGATAAAGGCACTGTGCCATAATTACATGGACGGCCAGCATCACCGCCCAGCTACACTAAAACAGTCAGCTAGCCAACTGCATGGGGAGGAAGGACCTGTGTGTGTCTTCTAAGTAACTGTACAGAGTGTGCTTGCATGTGTTGGTGTGTGTGTTCAAAGGGGGTCAACACCCCCTTGTGATCACTCTGCTGCAGTTAAGCCCCCTGTGTTTAAGCCCCACATAGGCTCATTGAGCCCCTACACATACACACAGACACTTTTAACCCCCACCCAACCCCACACCCCCAGCCAATCATTCCCCACCAGTGGTCTGACTCCTGCTGTGAGTGTGTGTGACCATCAGCCATTTAATTAGACCCAGCCATGATTTACCTAATTTAAATAAATAAATAAACATATGAAAACACCCCAATAAACAAATACCTATATTCAAATGAGGAGCTAGGGAGTTTCATGAGCATAAAGAATGCAGCAGAAGATGGGATTGTGCAGGCGGAAAAAAGCTAATGTAAGGACCACTGGATGTAGACACACACACACACACACACACACACACACTCACTTATAATGCTGCAAACACATGCTGCAAAGAATGAGGCAGAGTGGAGAACACTAAGTAAACTATTTCCCAGAGAACTGGAAGTGTTAGGGCTTAGTTTAGAATATTTTGTAATGACCACAACAGTACAGACAGATAAATACAGATAGGTCAGCTGCTAAAAAACAGCATCTGATGCTTGGCCATATCTGCTTTTCTTCTTATTGTTCATTTATCAGACAGTGGCTGATTTAACAAAAGCACATTTCTTCTGATTGAGTTTAATGAAAATTTTACTTTTTCCTTGGGATTCCATTTTTGAATTCTGCTTGGGGTGCATAGGTAAAAAAAAAAAAAGCTCAATGCCTCTAGCATCCCAACCCAGTATGCATTAAGCACCAGACTGCAACTCACTGCTGAGACTATCAGGCCGTGTTTTTTTTTTTAAGCATTTACCGCATTTGTTATTTTGTCTGTGTGCATGTCATGGGGATAAATCACTGTTTATTAAATTCAAGTGAAGCCCGTTTACCTTTGGGGAAGATGAGGCCAACTCTCTCTCAATGACTACTGCCACCGGGCTGGGCCCGACCGGCTGGGCTCTCTCCATGGCCAAGCCAGAGCTGGGCTTGGGAGCTGGCGCACTGGGGCCAGGGCTGAAACCTGGGGGCGGGGGAGCCCTCCTCTTCTGGCTGCTATCCATATCCAGGGAGGGGCTGCCAGCGGGTGGCTGGGCAGGGCTTGATGTCCTTGGCTCGTAGAAAGGATTGGATCTGAGAATGGAAGGAAGAGACACAGCAGAAGAGAGCAAGATGAGATAAATAGATGTCATGTCAGAAAGATTGGAAATTTTCTTTTGAATTCTGGTTATAATGATACGACCATGTGACTCAAAGACAACCAACAATGTTTTAAACAGGTCACCAATCCAGAACTGTCAACACTGCAATAAATAATAAAATTAGTGTAGAGGTTTCTATGCAAACAAAAACCATAAAGACACAAAACTACTGTAGCAATACAATTCAGCCACAGTATATATACAATATATAAGAAAAGAGAGCACAACAAACAGCAAAAAACATCTCGCCATGAATTCTCAGGATTATCAGTGTTCCAACTGCCCATTATTTAATTAAATATGAGGATATTCCTACATGGTAAATGGAGAGTTTGGTGCAATACAATGAACAACAGACACAAATAGTAAGGTAATAGAAGATGCAGGTGCACTGAGGTCAGGTCTGCATGACCTCATATCCTTACTGCCCACAGTGGACTACTGACAGACAGACAGACAGAGAGGAGCAGGAAGGCATACACACAGGCGCGCATGCAAACATGCATTGAAACACACACACAGTGGCGCTCTTTTGCACATGTCAGTGTGTTATCAATATACACACATGCTTGTGGCACTGAAAGCAGGGGCATGGCCTTGAGACATTCACTCAACATGCAACAAGCAATCCCAAACAAACAAGAGAATTGGATGGAGAGGGTGGGGGTCACCGTGAGTGTGACAAAGAAAAAAACCTGACTGACTAGGTATGTCTGAAAGAGAAGGTTAGAGCTACTCGGTGTCTATCTGGCCGCAGAGCGATAGAGACGGGGGAAAAAAAGAAGGGAAGCGAAGAAAAGAAAGGCAGGCAGGCTGATAAAGCAGCTTTAACAGACTGGCACCAGCTAAAAGACGTGAAAGGGCTGCAGTCAAAACACTGTGTTGCCCTCTTGAACTTTTTATTCTGCAGACTGCTCCTGGTGTATGAGACAGAGCAAAAAAAAAAAAAAAACATGCCAGTCAATAACCTGTCTGTCTTTAGAAAGCAGAGGACTAAAACATACGACTACTTTGTGTGACAGCTTCACTCAACAGCCAAAACCTATGAATTTACATATACAATTCAGGCATGGCCACTTCTCTGCAGAGGTCACACACAGTCAGTGAAAACATTCTGCTCTGAGGAGAACAACAAAAGGATCCTCACAGTAAGAAACTCTTCCTACTCTTAGTCAATGAAGAAATGTGACCGTGAAAATTTGCTGAGGTAGTAAAGATGTGCTCCCTCTGAGTGCAGCGTTTGTTTACTCCACACCTCGGCCAACATCAGTTAAGTTTTTTGGATAGGAGTCATACTGTACATGCAGTGTGTCACGTGGTAGTGTACTATTCAATGAATAGTATTATTTATAAAGGAAAAGAGAATTCCTCACTGAACTAAACTGCCAGCCTTGATACACTGAAGTGATGGATGAGAAAACAAAAGAGAGGAAGAAGGAAGAAAGTAATGAACAGCCCAATGAAAGAAGAGGGAGGTGAAATAAAAATGAACAGTCTGGGGAGGAAGCTAAAGAGAATAGCAAGGAGGAAAAGTATGCGGCAACAAGTTAACATGAGGGAGGAAAGGAATGACAGAGGAGGGGAAGGAGGGAGACAAGCTTAAAGAATGCAGTAAAACAACAGGGCCCTTGTTTCCGTTGAAAGAGCTGCCTCATCACTCTGCCCTTATGCAGGGCCACAAGTACTCCTCTGTAAGGAGGGGTCTTACAGGACTTGGCCTGCCAACAGCTACCAAATTAGGCAGTCTGGATCCTCCCATAGGGCTCACAGACAGAGCAACTGAGTTGCTCAACTGTTTAAGCAAGTGTGTTTATCCGACTCCCTCTAGCAAATAATACAATGTGGACTTTGCTACTCTGATGTACATAAAAGGCTAATGTCAGTAAATACAAAAAGAAATGGGCTTCTTCTGTTCTTATGCTGCACCAAAAATGAGAGAACGTTAAACTAATGCAAATTAAAGTGGTAAAAGCAACAGAGCAAAGCTTGCAAGGTGCCCACTCTTTACTTAATGATACACTGACATCTAAACCTAATCTTTTCAAATTACTGCTTCGTCAAACAAGCCTGTTGTTGCCATCTGTAAATATCATACCTCCACAATATCAACCTGTCAGCAGCCAGGCACTCAGTCATGATCTTTTCCCAGGTCAGGGTTCCCGGTTTCCTGTGGTAACCATTTGAAATATCAAAAGATGAAGAAATAAACCCTTACTCATCAAGCTCCTCCTCCTCGTTGTGAGAGGTGTCGGCGTACAAGTACTTGCTCATGTCAACTGGCCGTACACCTTTCCTCGGCCTCGGCTTGGGGGGTTCTGGGCCTAGCTGGGTGTCCATGTCCTGGTCCGGTTCCTCAAAGGGGTTCCCCGGGGGTGTATGTGCCTCTGGTTCATCCGGCCCATTGAACGGATTGGAGGAGTCGTGGTCATAGAAGGAATCATCACCTTCTTGCTGCCTTAAGAACAGCTGAGCAGGGGGCTCTGTTTGAGAGAGTAGAGGACTGACTGCATATACAACACATACTATATTTGTAAAACACAGTCACTTGCACCCAGTTTCTTTGTTTGACAAAAACACTGATATATTGTCACCCCACCTGGTTATAGACCTTAGCATCACAGAGGGGTCAAACTCAGTGTGACTTTAGTCCTGGTAACCAACTCAGCATTACAGACTTAACTGTCTGTATCATTGTCATTCTTTTTTAAATCACCTTATACAGTAATAGCTGAGGTATAAGGCAACCTGTGGGTAGATGCCAACATTCCTTTTTTTGGCTTACATTAGTTCACTCGACTTGCATTTTCAGGCACATGGTAGTGCCTGAATATCATAGTTGTATTATAGTTCTAACCTGGCCCAGGTTTGTTTAATCTAACAATCAGACAACTAAATCTAACAACAAAACACCAAAATACACACTTTTTGTGTTCAGGACCACGGAAACTGGTAATAGACACACATGGATATGTAAAGTTTAAATAATGTTTTAACAAGATTAGGATGCCACACAAGAAAGGTGTATGAATATACAACACGTGTGCTCAAGAAAGCAAAAATTCAGATTAAGGTTCAGATTAAAGACAAGTTAAGCAAAGAACATAGTGGAACATTACTGTATGTGTGCAGGAGCATGTCCCTTAAAAACAAAGGATCCATCCTAATACACTCAGTCAGACAAAAATGGACTGAAAGCACTGAAGTCAACTGGCTATAGCTACATATGATTACACACTCACAGCATGTGCACATCCAAAACTTAAACTTACACTGGTTGTAACTTCACTAACACCCCCAAAATAAACCTAAACCTTTATTGCAACAACATTACTGGACAATAGGACTAAAGCCTAAATTACTGGCAATATCCATCCATCACAATAAAAGTGGATTTAATATATTTTCATCACATGCTTACAGAATTGAACATACCTTCCACATCAGGATCACCAAATGGGTTGAGGTGGTTAGAATGAAGGTCGCCATCAGGCTCATCAAAGGGATTGGTGTTCATGGTGGGAGGCGTTTCCTGATCCTTGTCTTCCAGGAAGTTCAGCTTGTTGATCAGCTCTGTTGCCACAGAGTCCAACAAAAAGTCATTTAAACAAGCAACAATGAAGAGTGACCGAGTCAAAAGGAACAACTACATAACAAAACGTTTTCCAAAATTAAATGAACACAAACATTTAGAACTATACCAAAATCTGCACTTTGGAGTGAACCACAAGCATAAAGACTATCCGGTCTTAGGTAACCCCTCTTGTTGGAGAGTGCTGCCTAAACTTCTCTGTGCCTCTCTCTCACCTCAACCCAGTTCCATGCATGTAACAGTGGCATTCTGGGAACATTCTTGAGGTATGGAGGGTTACCCTGTGGGAGACCGTGAAGGCAGCAGGGAGTTGCTATGGAGATCCTGGCTGAAGAAGCTAGTCTTGTCCACTTTATCTTCATCAGTCTCAGTGTAGCCCAGTCCCATGCTGCCAGGGTGTGGGTCCGTTTGAAAAGAGTGTAAATGTATGTGAGGTCGATGCCAAGAAGTGCTGCTGAGCTCTGTGTGAGAAACTGAGCAAAGAGTCAAAGTGCTGTGTGTATGTGAGTGCGTGTTACTTGGTCTACAGTGTGGCAATGTGAAGAGGCGGTAGCTGATAAGAGGTGCAGCACTTCTCCTTGCTTCTTACTGACAACATTCATGACCCATTTTTATCCATAACAAGTGCACACATGTGCCTTTGCATTGGTGTGTCACAACATGTAGCATGGTTTGTGACTGTTCACTATTGTGGTCTGTAGTGGAAAACCTTTGAGTAAAATGTGATGGTCCTAAATTAAGTTTTGGGATTGTCTTGTATTACAGAAAGCCAGAAGTATGCAGTGATCAGCATTATTCATCTGAGTAGCTAACTCTAAACTGCTGATGACAAACTTGCCACTGAAACCCTGTAGTTTATTCTTTGCAGCAAGAACGAAAACTGTTGCTCTACAACTGCAGCTAACTTAGGATGATCCAAACTCACTTGTCAACAAAAAACAAATATACTTCATTACAAAACAGAGAACCTTTGTCTTCTTTAAAAGATGCTTTAATGTACAAGAAGATCTCCTTGGTTCACTACCAATTGCAGTAAATGAAAAGAGAAGCTCATACTGTCAAAAACAAAGAATAGGAACCAAAAAGACAAACACCAACTGAAGCATTCACCACACCTTGTACAGCACATCACCACATGGACCAAGATAAACTGTCAAGCCCACATGACCAAAATTCAATCTTAATACCAACGTCAAAGACAGCGAGATGGGTGGGGGGGGCAAAGAGACAGAAACAAAAGATGGAAAAGGAGGGGTTAAAAAAATAAATACACAGAAAGTAATTGTGGTAGTGAATGGTAGGGAAAAGGTGACAATGTTCACAAGACAATGAAAGGGTCAGGAACACAAGATGAAAAGGGGGAAAGAAAGGCGAAAAAAAGACCTTGGGAGGAAGCGGCAGGCTTAGCGGTTGCTTTGCGTGCTCGCTTAAGGACACCACCATCATCATCATCATCCCCATGTAAGCAGCTGAGGGCATTCAACTGGTTTACTATTTCTGTAAATGACAGGGCCATACAGGAAGGGAGGAAGGAAGAACAGCAGTGAACAAGGCAAAATAACACACCCCATTAAGAATATCCACACACACGCACACTGTGCTTTCATTCCTTGTGGAGACTTTACATTGACTTATTCATTTCCTGTAGACTTATCCAAACCTTAACCATAACCAGTACTTGCCTAACCCTAACCTAACACCTAATCTCACTCTAACCTTAAACCATGTTGGCACCCTATAATTCAGTGATTTGGCTGAGTCCCCACAATGTGTTAACAGGTTTTGGTCCCCATAAAGCAAGTAATATAATGGCACACACACACTCCATTTATCTGCACACAGATATAGGAGTCTTGAAGAAGTTGCATACATTTCAGAGTATAGACCTTTGTTTATGTTTTCAGTATTATTGCTAACTAGCTGAGAAAATCATGTCTGGTTGACATTATGTGTACAAATACATAATTAAATATCTGCATGTACAGGGACGGGTATTTAAATGCTGTAATGCTGCATATCATACTGCTCTGTAACAACGGCCAACTTGAGCTCTTGCAAAGCTGAACAATTTTATACTATGTGCAGGCACACAAGTAACATTACATTGATTTGAAGAGCTTTCAAAGTTAAGGTCATTATATGGTTACCTTGGTATGTGGTACTCATTCACTCACTGTAACACAAACAACTGACAAATAAATACATACACAAATGCACACAAATAACATCCTTTTAGGAGTCAAACATTCTCTTTTTATTAGTTACATACTGTATATAAAAATAAAAAGAGAACATGTGTTTTGCAGGGTATGCACTGGTTAGTCTAGGTAAGGGGAATGTTGTAGTAAGGAGATTTGGCAGCTTGGCCAGGCCTTGAAGCATCGCTGTAGGCACTCAATGCACATACATATAAATGAGACCAAGACCAGGGAAAAGAAAAGAAAGGAGACAAAGCATGAAGCTTAACATGAATAGATGGTGCTTTGAAAAATTGGATTAAGCAAAGCAGGAAGCAGCGGGACCAATACATTGGATCATAGAATGAATCCTCAACATGTATATATGGGAAGCGACAAGTCACCATCACTCTACCAGTCCACCAACACAGGGAGGAGAAAGCAATGAACAAGTGGTAAAACTAGATTCTCACTCCTTCACAGTTATACAAGCACATGCGCACACGCACAGATGCAAAAAGTAAGAGAAAAAAAAATTAAGAAGCAAAGTCAGTGCCCCACATGAAGCCTGGGTCTGGATTATTCTGGTGTGGGTGGTTACTGAGGAGGGCTGGAGAGATTTTAACCTCCAGATGAAGCTCAGGACATTTTCAGCACTGTTACTGTCAGATGAGTTTGTAGCTAGCTGTGTTAGTACTGCTGTGGCTGACAGCACAGTGTTCACTGAAAAGAGTGGCTGCTGACCAGTAGTAACCACACTACTGCTACAGCATGATACCCAACAACTGATTCCTGATAAGCAGTCACTTCAGCTGGTGCATCTCTGGTCAGACAAAACCATACATCTGTCACCTGTCAAAGAAAAACATTCTTTGAGTCAGTTGTCACCTGTGATCTTGGCAGCCTTCTCCTCTTGGTTAACCCTGTTCTCCTCATCCTCCTCATTCTCCTCCTCAAAGTCGTCCAGGTTGCCGATGTCTGCCTGCTTCATGCTCATCAGGCTGGCCAGGCTCTGCATATCTTCATCTCTGGACCATAAAATGCACACACGTTTGTAGGTAGCAACCACACTCAGAACGGATGAAACATACACATAATACATGAATAATGATGAACAGGTCTACTTGGAAAAGGCTAAACCAGAAAGACCAATACATATTTGAGATAATACAACTTAAATAGATTAAATACCAAAGAGTGGAAAAAAGGAAATGGCTGAATGAACAAATAAAAATGCATCAACACTGTGTTTTCAGAGCATCTACTAGGAAATGGAAGAATTTAACCCACTAGATGACACAGAAGGATTATGATAGCTTCTCTTTCTGTCTCTACTTCTTTTGTTTTGTTTTCCCTGATCAGCCTCTTCTCCATCACCCTTTCCCTGCCCACTGTCCGTCTCTTCTCTTTTGCACCACCACCACTATATTCACACATGCACCAATTTCTATATTACCCCTTGTGTTTCCTTGTGTACTCCCCTCTCAGTCCCTTGATACACGGCTCCATCATAATCACTGTATTCTCCTCTTTGTTCTTTGTGTTTGGTGTTTCTCAGGCTCACAGGCTCATTGAAACTGGTGTGATGGAGTTTGTTTGTGTGTGGTCGACATCATTCTGTGAAGGGTTAACAAGGGTTACGGGCCATCGACCCGCCGTCAGCACCACAACAAAGGCCTTGCTGCTCTTCTTTTGCTTAGTGTGCGCGTGTGTGCGACTGTCTTTGAATGAAAGTTTCTGCTATCAAATTAGAATGAATAATAGCAAATACTGAGACTTACTGACCATGTGTCCTCAAATCAAAGTTGTAGTATCAATGAGGAATCGAAGAGAATGAACGAAAAGCAGCAAATACTCGGTGAGTCACAGCACGTGTGTATATATTCTTCTACACATCAGGGTTTTCCCTGCCATAAAAACGGACGAAGGTTTGTGTGATTGGACATACCACCAAGCTAATCAAACAGCTGATTGGACATTTGTCTGTACTGTCAACTCAGGTTGTTAGCTACAACCATTAATAAGGCTGGTCTCCACATAGAATACATTAAGTAGGCTATAACTTTGCTGGGGAGTAATTCTTGTGAGTGGTAACAATGGCGATAGCAGAATGTAGCCCATTTTACAAGTAAAGAAAGTGCTAGCCTAGCTAACACATACTAAATTAGCTAAGTTACATTAGACAAGGAAGCCAGTCAGTTGATGTTACAATAATATAAATAAGCTAGAATTCCCTTTACATTATTTACACCCCGTTATAAGTATAATAAAAACCTTGACCTGGGGACTCTAGGGCTGATGTGTACCACTGCATGTGTTTTGTTGACTAACTTACAGGTTAACAAATTTCTGATGGGTAATTAACTTTGATGTGACTCCCTTTAGTAGCTGCCACTGTAAGTGCAATTTACAGCAGCTGCTAAAGGAACTGCTGCTGCAAACAATGCGAGCTTGTGTAACAGAGCATGAGGAAGGTGAACTGCATTAGGAAAAAGAAAAGAGCAGAACCTCGCCAACTCTTACTAAATAACACTATATAGGATAACAGAGTACTGCTTATAAAATAACACAATCGGCTCACAAATTCCATGGAGCCGAGTACATGTCTCAGAAACGCCAACATCATCAAACATTATGCTTCATTAGATTGATATACAGTATCATCCCTAAATATGAACCAGCTCATTTTAAGAACTTTAGATTCTCATGATTCAGTTTATCCTTTGCTGAAAGTGAAGTTTAGACCTGGTTCATTTCTATCTAAATGACCGGCAGTTACCTGCACCAACATGTGTAAGACTGTACTATATGGCAGACCTGAGCATATGGTCAGAAGCGGGTTGACTTACGTGGCCTTTCCCTCACGGAGGAAGATACAGGAGAGGGAGAACTGCAGTGTGGCCGACACCACTTTCTTCGACAGGGGCTTAAACTTGAGTTTGACATCTGTTTGTGTGGGCATAGGACTGGCGTACTGTTTCATGTTGATACTGCTGGTAGCCAAGGCCTTCCTCCGCCCAGATGGAGACTCCTGGAGAGTGAGAGAGATGAGGCACATTCAAGTTAATTCAAGATTTTTATTTGCCATGTATGCATAAACAGACAGACAGTCTAGGTATATAGGAATTCTTGTGCAGCTCCCCTTTGGAGTCAGGTAAGGAGTCAAAAGCCAGAAAGAACACTTAGTCTTAAAATAGATGAATATATAGTACATCACATACTACGCAACTGGCAGATTGTATTTACACTGTAAGGATCAACTGGCAGGAAAGAGGCATTTTAAAGTGAGAAAATTATGGAAAACAAAAACTGTCTTGTGTCATTTTTGCTCACTGTTTTATATCCTCCTTTGGAGAACCTGTATTCAAGGTTCAGTAAAGTGCCTAATGTACAGTTAATTCTAACACCAGGTACAGAAGTTGAAGCACAATGTTTCTTTTCATCTTTACTAATGTCTATGATTACAACATCCATATAAATCCACTGTCAATTGCTAAATCCAGATCGCACTAAAATCAATGACCTTCACCATGACTCACTGTAAATGTAGCTGTAAAATCCTTCCTGGTATTTCACATAAAATGTGCACGTTTGATGTCCTCCTTCACAGAGTTGTGCTCTGGGCCAGGGGCTAGCCGTCAAACTGGAAATTGGGAATATGCCACAAACCAGGTGATAGGAGTTAGGGTATCAGTGACACTGCCCTGTGTGTATGCATGTATGCCCCTCACCAGAGGACGGTGTGTGAAAAATAAAAAGTACCTTCAACCCTTGTCACTGACTGCTAGATATGGAAACTCCACAGCTGGGGATGTTCTAGCCTTTTGCCTGCCCACTCTCCCTCCAACAAAAACCAATGGGTTTTGTCTGCTGCAAGTCTGGCTGTTGAAGCACCACGCTGTCAGTGAATAGCAGACTGGTTCAGCTCCTTGCTGGGATGATAGCACTGACATGCCATGCTCCTCTTTTCTGTTTTACCTCCTCTGTTTTTGCAGATTCTGTTTTTGTGATGGGAAACTGCCACATTTTCCTGGAAAATGATATGTGTTCATTTGCATGCAAGTAGAGGTTGATATCAGAACCAAATCCAAGGTTAGGATCAGACAGTGGTTCACAGGCCATGTGGAATGAAAGCAGCAGCCAGTGACAAACACACATGCCCTCTCTTTACACCTGCCTGATTCCTCTTGCTCTCCATCTCTAATTCACTGCATGAATGTCTAAAAACAGCCTATGTGACTAAATTCACCTACACACATACACACACACACACACACACACACACACACACACACACACACACATGTTATTACACCACAGAAAAATTCCTTGTTGTCTCAGTTGTGAATCGAGCCCTGAGGATTCATCCTCTTGTGCACAATGCTGAACAAAGCAGAGCAGCTAGCTCTCTTTCACACAACACCAGTTTCAAAGCACATATACATACACACATACACTCTGGCATGTACGGGAGATAGAGCGATACAAGCTCTTTACATTTCCTGTTTCCTGATGTCTTCACATAGAGAGACACACATCTCAGAAGCTTTGGGGAAAACTCAATCTCCACCTTATCATTAAGGACCGCGGGGTATTCCTACATATACACACTCAGACATATCCACACAGAGCTGGTTTCAGTAGAGTGGTAAAGCTGTTGGTAATATAGAAGAAACTATATACACTCTAAATATGAACCAGTCATAGAGGAACCAACAAAGCATTTGACTGTGTAGAGTGACTTCAATTCTCGTTATTAAAAAATAATTGCCATGTGCATTCAAACTATGAGTGAATTTAACTTAATGTGGTTGAAAATAATCAAGAGGCAGACAACAATCAGTGCAAGTAGTCAAGTCTGTTCCTAAAGCCATACAAACTAAGAAAACATCTTTAGTCTCATAAATAAAAAATAATCTGCATTAGTGATTTCCAATGAATGTGTATAGTCAGTAGGCATTTTAGTGGGTGTGGTTGGTTCAATATAATGTAGCCTAATGATGCAGTCTTGCAATAAATCCTCCCTTCATTAAGGTGATAATGGTACCAGCATTTTACCAGTATTTGTTAGTTTGTTTACAACATAACCCAAAAAGTAATGAACAGATTTTGATGGCGTTTTGGGCATATGGCATTAGATTCTGGTGGTGATCTGGATCGTCATCTGAATCCAGGTGTTTTTTTTAATGATTCTTCACATGTATGAAATAGGGCCATTTCAATACTTTTACTTCTTCTAACTCCATAAACAATACCTGGAATTCTTGGACAAAAATTGCAAGATAACATCCCCATAAGATCTACCACACACCAAAGTCTGATATAGACCTGCTGATCCACAATGTACAAATTTATAGGGCTCACAGAAAAACGGCTACTGTAAGACAACAAGTAATGCTACAGACTTGCAACCAAGCTCAAACTGTAACTGAAACTCTGCTGATCTAGTCAATGAGATTGTTGCTCTGCTAGAGCCTGAGGAAAATCACCATTACTGAAAGTGTTTTTCTTGATTAACTTTCAAACAAATAATGTTATCACTGCGATTCCAAATGCTAGGTATAGGACCTAATGGTCAGTATGCATTTGCCCCAGTCAAAAAGCCTAAAATTGCTCTGGCCAAGATGATCAGAATCTGTTTCTTTAATCTCCGTCCCCCTATATCTCTCGTCTTTCCATCCTTCCATGCCCTACCGACATCCCACCATACGTCTCATCCAACTCTCCAATCCTCTCTCCATCATTCCTAGCTCAGTCCTTGCTCAGACCAATAATTAAATAAAAATCTACAGACGAAACGGACCAACGAGCGAGGCCACTTGACATTTGGTGCTGACATTTGAGCCTTGTCGCTTTGGCTGGGGAACATAACGTATCATCGCCCTACCACCAACCTCAGCTTGTCCAAAGAACAGCCCATCATGAGAAAAAGATGAGGGGGGGAAAAACGTCTCCCTCTCCACCTCTTATCTCTCTGCAGATTACACCCATGCTATTATACTAAGGTAATAGCACACATAGATACTTTATGAATGAATTTGCCAAATGTACCAAACACTTAAGAAGAGAGGATTTAGCAAAAAGCAGGATGGGGAGCAGGAGGAGGGGGGTCTTGAAAAATAGGAAATACTTAAGGATATGCAAATACCCCAGAGAAGAATGGAATAATCGTTTCAACAGATTTGAGTTGGGGCAGCAAACAATGGAAATCTGCTCTATTTCCCTGGATGCTACTTGTCAATCAATGTGTGTGTGTATGTTTGAGAGAAGGTGAGGGGGTAGGTGGGATTAGGGGAGGTTGTGACAATGTAAAATGAAAGGGAAGGACAAATCAAAAGTTTAATTTATTACAGAGAGGATCGGACTATCATTGCTCTCCTCGTTCTGAGCCCAGAGAATGACTAAACACAAAAATGTGTGTGTGTTTATACATTACCAGAGTGTGGAAGAAATAAGGAAAACCTGAGATGACAAAAAGGAGGAGGGAGGGTGATGACTGTCTGCTGCACCCTAGCTGCATCTCGGTACAACTGCAGTGTTAGCTGTGACTTGGAGCACTGTACTACACTCACACAAACTGCGCCACACATGACAAGTCACATATAGTGCACTAAAAAATAAGAGCAATCACACCCGACCCCTGCCTACAGTTACTCTGCACTACCTAGTTTTCATAAATGATGATGCATGACTGGCAGTCAAGAAGTGTGTGTTTGTGTTAGAGAACCGGTCCTGCCCCTCTGCCCTGGTACCAGCTGGCCCCAGATTGATCCACAGATGCTCCCCTGGTGGGGGGGCAGGGGTCATGGCAGGAGGGGTGCCCAGGGGTCCCGGTGAATCTCTCTGCCCCAAAATGCCAATGGGACGAGCTGGAGGAAGGAGGGGTAGGGGATCCTCTTGTCACCAAGAGATGGATTAATTAGGCTGAGAGTGAAACGAACCTGACTGCTTTGTGTCAACCTGTCTTGACACACACACACACAGACAGTTGGGCAGTGTTAGCACATGATAAAAATAAAAAAAAAGACAGTAAGTGCCCAACACACACACACACACACACACACCAATCAACTAATGGCTTTTTAACACAGGTCACCAGTCAAATGGTTTCTAAATTAAACAAACAGGGTTGCTGTTCCATATTGATTCATTTACTACTACTTTTACTAAAAATTCACAGACCACCATTACCTAGCTATTTCTAGACTAACCATGTTCCCAAGTTTCTGGTGGAACTGGAGATAATTGCAAAGGTACAAGTATTAATACACTTTAATTTTGAAGCACAATTCATGTTCTGTGCTCCTGTCAGTTGGCAGTATATACTGTATAGTACAAGTGATTAGCCAGTTGATGAGCGTGGTCATGTTTAGTATGTTGTTGAGAAGGAGAGAAGATTAAACCAGGTCTCTCGTATCACAACAATGATTAAGTGTTGAATCACTGGTTCCACATGAAGCAGATGATTATCAAACTTAAGCCTGCTGCCATAAAACAAAACAATCCTAAAATAAGGGAAGAGTGACAGGCGGATTGTTTAGACCACTAACTGTATATAAAAGATGGACAAATCTTTCATGATATCACCAATTGGTTTTCTTAAGGGCGGTTTTGAAGCTCAAGTCTGGCCATCACCTTATTGGTAGTGCTTCACTCCACCTGCTACGGTTAATCCAAATATGAGCAGAGAGGCGGAGCTTGCTAGACAGCTAGCAGCCAGCCACCTATGGTGGGACCCTCCTACCTGTCACTCCAAGTGATCTTCTTCCCTTTTTTGTATGAAATGTCTGTAACGATATGTGTACACAAAACGTAAAGCAGACATAAAGCATATAAATATTCCACTCCACACAACATTGTATACAGGCCTTTGTAATTTGTATTCACATGGCTCAGAAAAAAATAAAAGCCTAACTCAATTTACCCTACAGAATAACCCCGATTAGCTCCGCACCCAACACCCAAAATCAGCTTGCTCGGGCTGAATTCAGCAGTCAGCAGATTGGAGGTGGGGTGGGCGCTTGGTGGTAT